AACAAAGAGGGATCAAATCTCATCAGTCTTCAAACCTAATTACAAAAAAATAGAAAAACAAATTGCAGTTTCTATAACAAAGGAAGACAACTCTGCATACACATTTGGTAAAGTTGCATTTCAATAGCATAACTACTGCATCCTTCCAGCTGTCCCTCGTGAAAGCTGCACTGTGCATGTCTGCAGAGATAGATCAGCTCTGTTATTCCTTTCTTCATCTTCTGCACTGGATCTTAAGAGGGCAACACTTTGCTGAAAGTAAAATGTGGAGTACATTGAGACTAACTAAGATTCACAAAAGCTATAGAGTACAGAACATGCATGTCAAATGTCAGTTTGAAAAAATATTTTGTGAGTTCTGTGGAAATAAAAACCAAGCCAAATAACTCCATATATGGCCATGGAGAGAATATACATGCTAAAATGACAGATGATATATGCTTTAGTAATTAGAACAATGCCATGGCACAGACTTAAGGTCATGTTTTGAAATACCTGCAATAATTATACCTTTCTGGGGAGCTGACAGTAGTAAAAATTCTCTGCATTTTAAACTGCATTTTAGATCTATACAGCAGAGGGCACTAGTGTTATTGAGTTGACCATAGAGTTCATATTTTGATACTAGAAAAATGAAGGGGGGGAAAAAATCCCTTAGAAGACAAAGACTTTTCAACAAAGGCTAAAGAAGCTGGTGTGTGGTCTGTGTTCCATGTGTGGATTTATAAAGCTAAACCTTTATGTGTCTCTAACATAATAGACAGATATTGAATGGCAAATTACTCTACTACTGAGTTGCAGATGGGTCTTTATGTAAAGCACATTAAAATATTTCCATGATGTTCTTCGAGGCTTTAAATGAATTTTTCACTGTGTTTTTTGTGCTGGCTAATTTGTTTTCCAGGGTATTTATGGTTTAAAATTACCCTGATGTGAAATAACTGCACCAAGTCTTCCTGAATAGTTGAGCTCTGAGCTGTAGAAAAACGCCAGTGCAAAAGAAAGGACCTTTTTAATAAATTCCTACTGCCACTAAGAATCTTACTGCAGTATGTTAGCTTCATGCAAAGCTTACCAGTTGGAAGGGAGCACTTGCAAGACATTGCCTAAAATATTTTCTGCTGATCAAGTTGGCTTTTTTTTTATCAGCTCCCCTGCACTTCAGCAGCACCAAACCCACTTAATGTGGTCCTATGCTAAATACTGCATTTTACTCCCGGCATTACCAGGAAAGAGAAATATTTAGTAATGTAAATAAATTCAAAGTTAAATCAAATGCTACAAAAGCTGAGATTTGCTCACACTGCCTCCTAGAAAACATTTCAGAGGAATGGCAATATAAAACTTCTGTACTTACATATTAAACAAGATAAAACTTAAACAGAGAAAAGTCAAGCACACTGATACATATGAAAATGCATCTAGAACTTCCCATTCACGTCTCACAAAATGCTGTTCTGGTCTTCAAAATGATACACTCAGAGAAGCTAATATGTAGTCAGTGACCAACCTTGTATTTGCAGTATACGCAGGTTTGAAGTTTGTAGAATTTCCTAAGGGTCTTTGACAGATCATAGTTCTGAAGCTTATCTGTGATTGGGAACGTTGGCACAGGACTGAGGTAAAAGGCAAACAGAAAAGCCACGGGTGATTTTGGCCTTCAGTACAAAGACCTGGTCTACGTAGCTGATTCATTGCCTGAGTCAATAACCAAACATGGGAAGAATATAGGGAATTTATTAAAAGATGATAAAACAAAAGCATGTATTTTAAATATCTTTTTGCAGCTGAGACATGGAAACATTTTGGGGGGATGAACAATTTTTGCCAATCAGTATCATAACTGGATAATTCATTATAATGAAGTACTGTATTTGCGTAAAATGTGCTTATCTGCTTGGGTTTTTTTTAACCCATGGAGCATATGTGTAATGATAGAAAGGGAAGATTTGCTGGATAATGGAGTATCCTTTAGTCTTTAAGGCCAGGATGCATGGGGATTGGAGCAACCTGGTCTAGTGGAAGGTGTTCCTGCCCATGGCATGGGATTAGAACTAGATGAGTTTTAAGGTCCCTCCCAACCCAAATCATTCTTTGATTCTCTGAATGGTAAAATAATTGGTTTGGTGTATTTCTCAATCTGATTTATAACTTTTTTATGGAATTCATTATTCAGTGCAAGTCCTTAGGGGATAAGTTTTAGAATTTTTTTTTTAGAAAAAAACAAACAAGAGAACAAAAAGAGAAATCTACTGGATAAAAGAAAACCAGTGACAAACAAAAATGCTAACACAGTTACATTAACTATCACAGAAAATGGTTTATTAGTATTCAGCTGCAAAACTCATGGATCACAGATCTTAACTCAGGAGCCTTAAACTGATATTAGGCTCATTAATATAATTCTTTAGACTACAACATTCAGATTCTTCTTCCAGACAGTCTAAGAAAGTTGAGAAACAGGTCTTTTTCATCCCCTTTTTTGCAGATAGTTTTGCTACAGTTGGACTTTTGAAGTAAGGGAACTTGAATCTTAGTGATTACTTGGAGACTGTTTCTCCATATATTGTGTTCAGCACCTCTGAAGTGAAAAGTGACCTTGTAAGTCTGCAGTAAACAGGAAGTCGTGTAGAGCAGCTACCCTTATCTAGTCTAGTACATTATCCTAAACACATGAAGCCAATGTCAAGAAGTGCAGTTGTTGGCAGAGGGAAGAGGTGGAGAGGTGGGAGCAGTTAACACTACAGCCACAGGGTTCTTCAAAGTCGTGTGGCAGGAGTGTAACCCACAGAGGAAGAACCTGAGTGACTTGCTCAAGGTTGCAAAACACATGAGCTTCATGAATCTTTCATAACAAGAATGATGTTTTATAAATAGTACTTACAAAGCAGATCAAACAAACAAATAGAGCCTAGACTTTCCAATTCCCATTCAGAGGTTTTTAACTATTATATTGTCTTTTTTTCTGCAGTAAATTATTAAAAGTGAGATTGGAAAGACTTGCAAGCCTTTATAACAACCATTGCAACTATTATAACAAGTTTTTAAAAAATGCAGAAATGAATTCTCAAACCTCTCAAAATTCTCAAGAAAATTGTCTGAATACATAATTAGGAAAAAAAAAAAAAGACTTTCATTGAAAGGATTGCTGTGAGATGCAAGTTAATATGTTTCTTCCTGTATTTTTTTTTTAAATATGGGGTTTTACACAAAATTATTTGAAGGCTTGAGTGGGAAACTGTTGCCTTATAGTATTTTGTTTTACTGAAAATATGCATTATGCATCTACGTGCTTTAGTTTATAAATATGTTTTAAGATTGCTGTAATTTATAAGGCTTCACTTTTGGCTGATTTGTAAGAAATTGAATTCATTTCTACAACAGACGGATCTTGCACTGAGTACCAGACTGAAACTGAGCTGAGGGCTGGGGGCTTTCAGAACTGCCACAAATGAAGCAGTACTGAAATTCTTAAAATGCTAATGATTGTATTAGAAAGGCCTTTTTTCCCCTTACAGTAAGATCTGCAGGTTTTCTTTAGAGTTGCTAATGAAACTGCCAACCCTGAAGCTACAGGGATAATTTTCAGCATTTAAATGGCTACTCTTATTTCTGTATTCAGCACACATTTACTAATGAGTGTTTCTCTGGTGTTGGTGCCAAACAAAAGAATTGAGGACAAAATATCATGAAATTGGATGATGCTGTTTAACAGTAGGGAAGAATTACAGAACTGGTGGATGAGGCAGAACAGCTGATGTCATCTACCTGGATTTCTGCAAAGCATTTGACACTGCTCCACACAACATCCCTGTCTCTAAACTGGAGAGACATCAATTTGATGGATGGACCACTCAGTGGATAAAGAATTGGCTGGATGCCACACACAGAGAATTGTGGTTAACAGCTCAATGTCCAGCTGGAGATGGTAAAAAGTGGTGTCTCTCAGGGGTTACTGTTTGGACCGATCCTGTTCAACATCTTTATCAGCAACATGGACAATGGGATTGAGGCTCCCAAAGCAAGTTTGCTGATGACCTCATAGCAGCCTTCCAGTTTCTGAAAGGTGTCTACAAGGGTGCTGGAGAGGGACTCTTCACAAGGGACTGTAGCAATAGGACAATGGGTAATGGGTTCAAACTTTAACAGGGGAAGTTTAGGTTAGACAGAAAGAAGGGTGGTGAGGCACTGGAACAGGTTGCTCAAGGAAGTTGTGAATGCTCCATCCCTGGCAGTGTTCAAAGCAAGACTGGACAGTCTTGGGTGACATGGTGTAGGTGTGGTGTCCCTGCCCATGGCATGGGGGTTGGAACTTGATGATCTTAAGATCCTTTCTAACCCTAACTATTCTATGATTCTATAATCAATGCTTAGCATGTTTCTCTTGGGTTTTCATTTAGTTATTTTGTTGGTTTGCTTTTAATTTGAAATAGGCAAGATCTTGTCCTGACACTTGTATGACCTGCTACATTCAGTATTAAAGGCTTTACTTCTAGTTATACCTCAAGGCAGGAATTATGTTTAGACAAAGATTTTCACTCCTACAGAACAGGAGTACCCCGTTGTTCTTCATATTATCTGTTGTCTTATAATGTGTCAAGAAGATTAATGCCTTGGATATTCTGATAATTCCTATATTACCTATTTTTTGCCTTTTGAGGCCTTTATCATTTCTTTCAATTCTCCTCTGAGTCAGAACATTTTTGTTAGGTATACACTGCCGTTGAACATGTTATCTGCCATTCAGCTACATGTGTTATACATTGGAACGAGCAGGAAAAGCTAGTGTCTGGGGTTTTCTTATCTCATTGCCAGTTACAGCTGACATATGTAGCTGTACAGGAAACAAAATATGAGAATTTCTATGGCTATTCTTGCTATGGAGTTTCATGGAGTTGAGTTGACTGGAAGGTCTTGAGAAGCCGTTGTTTAGAGAGGACAGTTCACACTTAAATATTTGATACTAATTTAATGTTCTCCTTCTCCCTTCTTTCTTTCAGGCTATTCAAACTCCAGAAAGACCAGTACCAAATAAATTATGAATGTTGAACAAGATGACCTTACACCCACAGCAGATAATGATAGGTCCTAGGTTTAACAGGGCCCTATTTGACCCCCTGCTTGTGGTGCTGCTGGCTCTTCAGCTTCTTGTGGTGGCTGGTCTAGTGAGGGCTCAAACTTGCCCTTCTGTCTGCTCCTGCAGCAACCAGTTCAGTAAAGTGATTTGCGTACGGAAAAATCTGAGAGACGTGCCAGATGGCATCTCCACCAACACCCGGTTACTCAATCTCCATGAGAACCAGATCCAAATCATTAAAGTTAATAGCTTCAAGCATCTGAGGCACTTAGAAATCCTGCAGCTCAGTAGGAATCACATCAGAACAATTGAAATTGGGGCTTTCAATGGACTGGCCAATCTCAACACTTTGGAACTCTTTGACAATCGTCTGACCACTATCCCAAATGGGGCTTTTGTATACCTGTCAAAACTGAAGGAACTGTGGCTTAGAAACAACCCCATTGAGAGCATCCCTTCTTATGCTTTTAATAGAATCCCTTCTCTACGGAGGTTGGATTTGGGGGAATTGAAAAGGCTTTCATACATCTCAGAAGGTGCCTTTGAAGGTTTGTCCAACTTGAGGTATTTGAACCTTGCCATGTGCAATCTTCGAGAGATTCCTAACCTCACCCCACTTGTAAAACTGGATGAGTTAGATCTTTCTGGGAATCACCTTACTGCTATCCGGCCAGGTTCTTTCCAAGGGTTAATGCATCTTCAGAAATTGTGGATGATACAGTCCCAGATTCAAGTGATAGAAAGGAATGCTTTCGATAACCTTCAGTCACTTGTAGAGATCAATCTGGCACACAACAATCTAACACTACTGCCTCATGACCTGTTCACACCACTCCACCTAGAAAGGATTCACTTGCATCACAACCCTTGGAACTGCAACTGTGATATCCTTTGGCTTAGCTGGTGGATTAAAGACAAGGCACCTTCTAATACTGCATGCTGTGCCCGTTGTCACACACCTCCCAGTTTAAAAGGAAGGTACATTGGTGAGCTGGACCTGAATTACTTCACTTGTTATGCTCCGGTCATAGTGGAGCCACCAGCAGACCTCAATGTCACAGAAGGCATGGCTGCAGAGATGAAATGCCGGGCATCAACCTCCCTGACCTCTGTATCTTGGATTACTCCAAATGGATCTGTTATGACACATGGGGCATACAGAGTTCGTATTGCTGTGCTTAGTGATGGCACATTAAATTTTACAAAGGTAACTGTGCAAGACACGGGTTTGTATACATGCATGGTGAGTAACTCTGTCGGAAATACCACAGCTTCTGCCACACTGAACGTGACTGCCCTGGATAACCCTGGTTACACTTACTTTTCAACCGTCACAGTAGAGACTGTAGAACCTTCTCAGGATGAGGCACAGACCACAGAGCAGGTTGGGCCCACACCAGTTACCAACTGGGAGACTACTAACATGACAACCTCACTCACTCCACAGAGCACAAGATCAACAGAAAAAATGTTCACCATTCCTGTGACAGACGCAAACAATGGGATCCCAGGAATAGATGAGGTTATGAAGACTACCAAAATCATAATTGGTTGTTTTGTGGCTATCACTCTCATGGCTGCTGTGATGCTGGTAATTTTCTACAAAATGAGGAAACAGCATCACCGGCAGAACCATCATGCTCCAACACGGACTGTAGAGATTATTAATGTGGATGATGAGCTTACAGGTGACACACCCATAGAGAGTCACTTGCCCATGCCAGCAATAGAGCATGAGCACCTAAATCACTATAACTCTTATAAATCTCCTTTCAACCACACAACCACAGTTAACACAATAAATTCAATACACAGTTCAGTGCATGAACCGTTATTGATCCGAATGAACTCAAAAGACAATGTACAAGAAACTCAAATCTAAAACGTTTATGACATTATGGGGTAGGGGTGGGGATGACAAAAGATGATTTATAAAACAAATGACACAAATGACTGGGCTAATCTACTGTTTCAAAAAAATGTCTTTACAAAGAAAAAGAAATTTATTTATTAAAAATTCTATTGTGATCTAAAGCAGACAAAATTATGTGTATTCCTCAGAACCTGTTTTTGCTGCACTTATTTGCCCTCTTTGTTCCCGTTTTAATTCCCACCCTACCCTGATTTCCATTCACCATATTTTTCATAGGAGATCTCAATTCCCTAAAAGAAGTGGTCTAGGAAATTTTGTAAGAATTCTGTTACATTGGGGGAATTTTTATGGTGAATACTAGTGGTGAGTTCGGTTTATTTTGTCACTTTTTCTTCTTTTTTTTTTCCCTCATCGCCTTTTTGAAATTATTCAATAGAGAATGGAACCATAACATCAACTTTACAAGTGAGAAAAACAAATAATCAAACCTTATTTTTCCCATGTAATGATTTGCTCTGTATTTACTGAAAGCACCGTTGTGTGAAAAAATTGAAAAAGTAAAAGCAGTAACAAACAAAACCCCAAGAAATTAATTTACTTGTGAAAACCTATGAACCCCATGATCTTTTAGGCAATTCTAGAACAGAATTTGTAGTTCAAACACTAAACAAAGATTATAAATAAAATATTGGGTTTTTCTGTACTTGAATACAGCTCATTTTTAGTGTGGCTTTGAACATCACAATTTGTTAAAATTCTTACAATATTCTGCTGTGATGGTCCAAAACACAATCACTTTAAAGAGAATAATTAAGTCATTTTGGATCTTTACTGAAGCATAACATAGTTTTCATTTTAGTTTATGTAAGCAGCATACTGACAACTAAGGGTGAGTGAATTTTAATGCAAGATTAAGATCCTTCCTTCTAATGGTGTTTTCAACTATCTGTATAATATAGCAAGATGCATTTCACAATGCCAGGAAGTTTTGCAAGGACTTGCAGTTATCACGGAATCTATTGGACAGAGCTAAAAAGAAATTTGTTCTGGGTTTGTTTTGTTGTTTTTGTTTTGTTTTTTTTTTTGTAATTTATAACTGTCAATAAGAAAATTCAACTTTACATTAAAGCTGGCGTTTTCCAGTTCAGTTGTTCTAGGACTCCTGAACATAAATATGAAACACATTTAGCTGTCTGTAATACCTCTAATCAGAGCTGTATCCCTATGAAATCAAAATGCTGGTAACAGAGTAACTCAAAGGAAGAAATCTGAAAATTTCGGCTTAAAAAAACCCAAATCAGAGGAGAGCGTAGGTTACTGTAATTTCATGACTGTTAGACTCCCTGTAACCAGTTTACATTAATTTAAACTCAAATTCTTTTACCAACAGAAAACTTACATCCTTTTCTATTTATGTATGTTCACTGGATTTAGGATATTGGTATAGGCATGGTGTATACCTTGCATGCAGAAAGCTAAAAAGAAGACTTTTAGTAAGAAAAAACAGCTTCAGAACACTGTTCTTCCAAGTAGACGTTCTGCCAAATTAAACTACTTGATGCATTGGCAATTGAATAGAAGCATTTTAAGACAATACAGGTGGGGAAAAAGAATCATACATATCATCTCTGAATATCTTTTCACCTATTTTCTTCCTTTACCACACTTACTGTGAGTTTTCAAGGTCCTGTGCCAGGTAAATAATATTCTTGGTTCATATCAAAATCGCTTTGGAGCTTTCTAATATGCAATAGCATGCAGAATGCAGACCCTTCTGAACAGTGAATTTCTGTAAATTTAAGAAGGAGCTTCTGCTAGGTTGAAGTGGTAAATGTCTCTTGCTGGATGCACAGTTCTCAAGGTTGCAAGTGAATACTGTAGTAAGAAGGCCTGATTCAAAGAGGACACAGTGAAGATAGCTGATGGTGAATCACACCCTGCAAGGAGTCTGATAAATATAACACAAAATGAAACCAGAAATTCTATAATAACCTCAAAGAAACATTTTCAAGACATTGTCCTTTGATGTACTACATGAAAAGTAATATCTATTCTAAGGGAATTTTAACAGAGGACAAAGATGGACCTGAATGTAAAATGTTTCAGTTCTGATTCTTAGCTTTGCCTATTTCTTCAAAATGCATTGGAGCATTTCATTGGCGATTTCATTTAAGCATTGTGGCAGGGTGTACAGAAACACTGCAGTTACACATTGCTATTTGTACTTGATCCATCTGTCTAATAACATTGTGTCTATGACCAGGGCTTATCTGAAAATTGGAAAAATTCTTTCCAGGAAACCTAGGGCCATCTATCAACAGGTTTATGTAAAAAAATTATGGCTATTCTCCAAACAGTATTTGTGAAAGCATTTATGGTCACCATGGTTTTATAAGCAGGTAGTTTTTACTATCTCCTAAATATTATGCATGGGAGGTCTTTAAGAAAGAGGTGTAACTATTGCTAAGTGGGACAGTGGGTCAGTGACAATCTTTATTCCTCTATGGGGTAATACAAAATAATATCAGTGACTTTTTTAAACAGTATTTGATTGGGTAAGTATACACATATTATGTGGAAACTATATTAGTTATTTTCCCTGCATCTTCCCTATCCCTCTTGGAGCTACAGAGATTATTTCTGACTCCTTCCTACTTCTATAAAACACTCATTATTTTCATAGATTAATTAAATACCAGAGTTAGAGAACATCACAGTTTATATCGTGCACTGAGCTCTGAAATAAAGTGAGAGGAGTGCTGTGCTCTCTTGTTTTGATGCTGAAATCACATGCCAATACAGCCTGTTACTGCTCCAGAGACTACAATGTTAAGAATGAAGCATGAGTCTTCTATATGGCAGAGCACAAGTGATAGAAAGTTCTCATGATTTTTTTCTTGCAGGTGACCACATTTTAGATTCTGTGTGATGTAAAAATAATAATAACAAAAAAAAAAACAAAAAACCAAGGGATTTTGGTTATGAGCTATCACTTTTAGTGGGCTCATGAGAAAGGAAGAATTATTCTTCAGTTCATTTGATGGAGTTTGAAGACATTTCTCTGCTGTCCTGTGCAAATACGAAATGCACACACATTTTCTTTCTGGAATTGCCATCAAGTCTTAACAAATCTTGCCATATGCAGAAGCAACATGTAAAAAGCATAGCGAGTGAGTTCCATTCAATTCATCATACAAGGCAGACATTTTATTTTACTTTGAAAAGGGCTAAATGTGTGGAAATTATGACAGTAATTGTGGTGGTTGTTTTTTTTTGCTAAAATACTCTAATGTGTTAAAAATCATGTATAATGATTACAAGATTCCCTGTCCCCACTGATGGCATTATAGGTTGATCACAGACTTAGAGAAAAGATAATTAAGTTAATATTGTGTTTAGTTTAGCTTCATAACTTTGTAAAAAGATTTCATAACAGCTGCTATGAGCTTTTATATGTCAGATGCAACCATTACTGTAGCCTTTTCAATGAGAAGAATGGAAAATCTTTTCCACCTATTTGCCCTTCCCTAAAATTTATATTTCATTTTTTTTGTGAGGTAAATACAACATTTCTGAAATGTTCACTTTATTTCTAAGTCCAGGCAGTGAAGGCCCATGATGTGTCAGGAACTATCTTGCAATTTCATACCAAAAGAAGTAAATGAAGAAACAATTTCTCCTTATCTTCAAGATATAGTAAGGAAAGTTAGACTTCCACATCTGGTTTTCTGTTTTTCTTAGTAAAATTCTTTAATGCATGTTTGTTCTCCTTTGTGCAGCTGTTGCCAAAAAAACAGCCTCATTTCAAGCTTGCATCGAAAATCCATTCAACAGTTAGCCTGATGGTAGTAGTGGACATCTTATGATGAGGTATTATATATTAGCATTGTAGCAGAGTAACACTCAGAGCCATCACTACTGAAATAGCAAGGGTTCATGAGCAGGGGATGGACTCTGTGAGATTATGGAAAATCTACTCAGTAAATCTACATTTCTATTGGCCCTAGACCCTCACACATAGCAGTGCCCCATGGAAACATTGTGGTGGTGTGTCATTTGTGGCTGGAAAAGCACAGTAGGGCAGAACTTTGGGTTAGGAACAACTTCAGTGGCTGCTCCCACTGAAGATCATCAATGCAGAAGTAATGAATGTGTAAAATCTGAGCTTCAGACATACAGTGTATGACGAGAAATGAGGGACTTATATATGTTCATCACATTTAATCACAAGTAGGTTTTAAGGCTTAATGCACACTAAATAATTGAAAACTTGAATAATAAAAAAAGTCAAAGATCCGCAATGTAAGTTTGACACAAGTGGCAAATTATATTTTGACAATATAGTAATGCTGGTTTGAAGTAATATGGGTAAGTTTTTTCATTATTAGCTCTATTAACACAAATGAGATCTGTAGTTCAATAGCTACATGCTATTTGCTTTGATACTAATGCCATGATTTCTTTAGGTGAGATCTGTTAAACAAAATATTATATTGAATTTGTCTTGGTCTTAATCCTTGCTTTCATACATTTATAACTTACAGCTGGACTGTCTGCTAACAAAGGACTGAATTAATGAACATGATTGAATTTCATAAGAGAGAAATTTTTCCCATACTGTAACTTCAGTGATGTATGGAATTTTGGAATGAGGAGGAGACGCTGAAATTACATCATCAGATGATTTTATAGCTAACCTTTATAAAATAATAAAGAAGAAAATATAATGTTATTTTTGAGAACTTTGAAAACTAAATCTTACGTAGAAGTAGGAAATTTTGATAAAAAAATAGAAGTAGTTAGAATATTATTGAACTTGAAAGTAACAGTAGATGTACTGGTTAAAGCAAGACGTGTCAGCTGCATATCCCAGATAAGCTTTACATCTTTTCTAACAACCGAGTTACCCAGTTCTCAAACTCAAAAGTTTGAGTTACTTTTCTAAATATCATTCAGTTTCTGCAAGGATTCTGGCTGCACTATCCATAGTTTTCTGGTTTCTTCTTAAATTTTGCAGTACATTTATGATGCAATCTGGGTTTTTAGCTCCAGAACAGTTTCCCAGACAGAGCACGCAAAGAATTCTCTGCTAAGTCATCCAAACTGCACCCATTGGAGGATCATGTTTAATACTCTGGGTCTTTTTTTCATGAACCTGAAATAGCTTGTGCAGTGAAAGATTCCAGTGGTCAATGGACAGGAGGCAGGTCAGTCTAAGTAGAACCTCTGCAGATCTGGGTACTAAGCTGTTTACATCCATTAACTGCAAAACAACTGGTACCTGTTTGATACTGCAAGGCAGTTTCATAGATCATTTATATGGCTCTTAATAATGTTGTAGCTGAGTTTATCGTTATTGATCACCTGCTGTGAGTTAACTATATTCCAGGTTAAAATAGTCTTTTCTTTTTCTCCTGTTGCCACATACCTTTCTTTGTGATGATATTTGGTCAAGTTCTAGAGCTGGAGAAAAAAATATCAATGTCTTTCTTTGGATATCCAGACTATAAAAGGATTCCAAATTGCATAAAACTGCATTTAAAAAAAAAAAAGCAAT